ACTAGACATTTTTATTTTGCATTTTGTCAGCTTGTTACATTGCACATCTCTTCACTACACAATCACCATGCTCACCATAAGACAAACTCATGTTTTAAGTATTTCTTACAATTTTGGTACCCCTGTTTTCAAGCAGTTGCATGGTGGCATATAACAAACTGGAGTATCCTCTTAGTTGAGACCAGTTTCTCAGGTCACTGGAAGCTGAGAAATGCCTCAGCCTGCACAAACAAAAGGCACTGTTTTTACCTTCAGTAACACCCACTGTTAATTCAGGTATCCACTGTTAAACTAGATACAAAAATCCCATACTACTTGGAGTACACATAGAAGCTATACGAATGACAGAACACAGAATGAGCGCCTGCTGCCAGTGATGGTCCTCCTCCCCCCAGAATGATATGCTCATTTTTGGCATTAAGCAAATGAATGGCATTGGATCTTCGCTGAAGGAAAGTTAGTTGCAGTAATATAGCAGATAGTCATCCTGCAGTTATTGTAACTTATTTATATTTCTACTTTTATATGAAAAAAAAAAGTTTAAATTGATCAAGTTCTTGCTGTGTTGCTGTCTTAGGAATGCATCTTCAGCCATGTGGAAGATGGGATATGAAGTCAAATCTTCAGCTTCCAGTTGATTATATTCATCCAACATTCAGAGGAGGCACCACTGAGGTATAGAAGCCTTGATGTTGCTGTGCCCAAGAAAATCAATTGAAATTTTGCCTGAGGGAAGGTGATAGGACTTCAAGCAGACCACAGGCTTGAGACTCTCTTTTTTTGGTGTATAAAATGAACCGACTAAAGCCTCCAGCAGGCTGCTAGTCTTTAAAGTTATGCTTTGTTAGAAAACAAAAATAATAAAGCAGAAAGAAAAGGTTCTTTAACAAGTGAAAACTCAGTGCTGCTGAACAAGACTTTAAATGAAAGTGTTGGCAACAAACCTCTTTTTGCTTACTGTACCCTTGGCAGGATGGTGTTTTCCTTTCATCATGCTTTCTTCTCAAAAAACTTTTGGGTTCACCCTGGGTTGAATGAGCTGCATATGATGTTTCCTGGGTCCAGAGAAAAGTTGCCATTTTTTATTTCGCTTCTGGGACTTGACAACAGGTCTATTGCTGTTTGCAAGCACATTCCCTACCATTCTCCGCTATCTCCCAGACCATACTTAACGCTTGCAGACCTCTGTGTTGTTGCTTCCCTGGCCAACCTCAGCTTCTTTCCCGACATGGGTAGCATCCAGGAAAGGTGCAATCTCTGCTCCTTTCAGGTCAGGTTGATCAGAGCATATGAAGGAGGTTGAAGGCAGCCTTCCTCTTTACTACTCAGTTACCCCAAGTTTAAGAAAATATTAAGTATACTGTATGTATTGTAACTGGTAGACAAGCAGGTCTTCAGTGCTGTCAGAGGCTTCCTATACAATTAATCTAACAGTTGCCTTATAAATTACCATACTGAGTTATAAAACTTAAATAAATTGCATTATTTTAACTCTCTTTAAAACTGGTGAATCTAGCTCAAGTTATTTTCAGCTTTCCAGTTGTTGGCCTTTCTGACTTTGTTTAATTTTCCATAAGCGTGAAATCAGTTTACAATCCTGTCTGGATGCTATGGATAATTTGGAAATTATTACGGCTTAATCCTAGAGGTATATCACCACCAGACCATAGGTTAATTATATATCAAGTAGATTCTTGAACATTGTAGAACTTTGAAAGAATCAAATAATAGCTTTTAGTAACTGTTGGCTTTTAGTCACTTACAGACTTGTATGCTACATTAAGTGCTGGTCCCCACTGTTAGTTAATAACAAACTGGAGAGAGTTCAGAGAAAAGTAACCAAAGTAGGTTTGGAGGGACTGACTTACAAAATGAAAAGAGTGATTTATATACATATCTTACCTAAAAAGTGTCTGGGTGTAACAAAGTGAACATGTTAAAAATTACACATATATTAAGACTATAATTGTTATGGATGAAGAATAATTAGGGTTGCATGAAGCCAGGTCACTCAAGGAATTTTAAAGCAATTAAAGAGGAATAACAAAGCAGAATATCATAGAAGATGCTTTGACATCACATTTCATAATAGTGGAAACCTCATTGCTAGGAAAATTTAAAAGTAGACCAACTATATTTTAAAGGATACCAGAAGAAAGGAAACAATTAAATGTAAGTCTGTACCATCCACAATTGTATTTTTAGTTCTCTTCTTTTGGTATTGTGTGATTTATTTTGGCAGCACAACAGTTTGTACACAATTATTATGCTTCCAAAAACCTTTGATTCAGAAAGTCAACAATCAAACACTAGATCTAAGTAACTGCATCTCCCTAAGACACTTTAATATTACTGTCTCCACTTTTTTTAATTAAACATTCTTTCAGTATGCTACTTGAAATGTCTTTTCCTTCATTTAACTAGCAGGCTAGATTACCCATTCCAGCTGATCTCTGTGAAAAGAAAATGAGAAGTAATGTGTTTACGGGGCAGTCTACTTGAATTCAATTTTCTTTTCTCTGTGCTGAAGGAAGCCAAGTTACTGCATTTCCCCCAGTCTTCAAGAAATTTTTGGAGAACATGCAGTCTTCAGAAAAGAGAGCTCTCCGTTTGTATTTCTTTTGAAATAGGAACCAGAGCTTGTTACTGAAATATACTCTGCAAGACTTCAAATCTAATTAATTTTCCATCTTAGGATGGGAGATTAGTTGTTTTATTAAAAAGAATTCTTAGCTGCCACAAGATTAACAAGATTCACAGTGCTCTGAAACAGACTTTCACCTGTGTTAAAAAATTACCTACAGCAGATGATTCACATGAAAGAAAATTAGAAGACGTCACACTTTTCCATGACTTTTCAGCTAGCAAGAAGAACAAGAAATATCAGCTTCCCAAAGCACTATAGAAGCCTGATTAAAATTATTCATGATATAATAAGCTGTAACTACAGATGTGATGGCAACTGCAATTATCCACAATTTTTCCAGACAGCATAAATGGTACAGTCTGAAGCCCTCCTTATTTTCCTTTCCCTTACAGCACTGGTTTTGACTGTAAAACTGGTTAAAATGCAAGATACTAAACAATATTTCTTCACAGATCAAAGTCCTTTTTATGGAATCAGATGATCAGTTTTAAGATGGGCCATTTCAAGTTTCTGCATATGAAAGTATGCATGGCTACAACTTGAATCTGGATCTATATGTACATTGTAATTTCATAATAGGCATTTTTCTCTTATATGAATATATTTTTTATCATATTCCCCACTTCTCACATTCCTATGGTAAAAATCTTTTAGATATAAATGAACATGGCTGCTTTATGTCAAGAGGGCCTAATTCTATCAATATAACACAGAACAATATCTGCACAATCAATAAGAATCCCATGCAGATCCATTCATTAGTACCTACTGTACCACCTACTATTCTCTGTCATACTGGTCTTAATAAGAAAATGTTAACAAATAAGCCATTGCCTCATGAATTAATGAAACAATGGAAAGATTAAAAATTGCAGATAATAGCAAACTGAAATATAGGAAAAAGAGGTAATTTTAGCACCCAAAGAGCAAGAATTGTTGGTAGTTTTCATGGTGGAACAGAAAAGAAATCGTAGATGAACAATATTTAGAAACTTGGAGAATGTCTGCTTTTCCAGACTAGTTTGCAAAAAGAGGAGAGACTTTGTTTCTGACAAATTCTGTGAAATCATTATCTATATGTGGGGATAAGTTTAGCCACTGAACAAACAAATCCATTATTTCCCTGTTTAACCAGAAGGGTATTAGGTTGGATATTAGGAAGAACTTCTTTACTGAGAGGGTTGTGATGCATTGGAATGGTCTGTCCAGGGAAGTGGTGGAGTCACCATCCCTGGAGGTCTTTAAAATAAGTTTAGATGTTGAACTTAGCGATATGGTTTAGTGGAGGACTTGTTAGTGTTAGGTCAGAGGTTGGACTGGATGAACTTGAGTTCTCTTCCAACCTAGAAAATTCTGTGATTCTGTGATTCTGCATAAAACCAAAAAAAACCCTAGCAAACACATGCAAGAGAAACAAACAGTAATGACAGAAGTAGGTGACATAAAGCCAGAGTTCTGCAAGATACTGCTTGTAAGAATGTACATTATATAAAATGCTGATGATTAACGTGAGGGATGACAAGCAATGTTCAGGGAAATGGAGTTTTGCTCTTCTGAAAAACTGTTGTGATATTTTAACAGGAAGAAGTAATTTTCTACTTTGCAGAGAGAACAGTTGATACATTAAAACATATTTTTCAAACTCCTTAATGTCCTAAAAGAAAGAGGTCATGAAACATTTTGAAGATGGAGGCACAGATGCTTAAAGATAATTATTTTAGAGATGACCAGAGTCATATATTACTATCTCCTGTTTTTAAACTGTGTTTATACGCAATTTTTATTTTCATACAACCTAGTAAATGAAACACACCTGAAAGCAAGCCTACAATTTGAAGTATAAAATCCAAAGTAGCTCAAGGGCTACAGTTTTCAAAAGTTTCTTGGCATATAAGGATGCAAATAAGGACACACTGGCATGACAGATCTTGTTCTTTGCTACTGTTGTGTGCTACATTGATCTTGCTTTGTGCTATACTGATTGTGCAGATCTTGTTCTGTGTTATATTGATAGAATTAAGCCCTCTTGAAAATTTCTTAGAAATCCAGGGCTTGGTAGTTATTTAAGCACCTGTTTTCATTGCACACTATGTCTAAGAGGCCAATAGCCACTCCAATACCATGAAATTCAAGTTTTCCTTCCCAGTCTGGACACCCAGTTTAAAGAAAACAGAAATATCTTTCCCTGTATGAAATATCAGGTGTTATCTAGTTACTAAGACTTTTCTCCATTTTCTTAATCACTGTGATTTTATAGCAGGCATTTATTAATCGTCTGAAACAACAAAAAAATCACTATTGATAAAAGATCTTAAGCCAACGTTTTTCACAATAAAAGCTGTACAAAACTCACCTGCTGTAAATGTAACAGCCCATATGATTGATTTCTTTGTCTAGTTTATACCGTCGAAAGTCCTCCCAGGCATCTTTAATGGCTGTAATGGCCATTATAACACAAATCGGGATCACAGAAACTTCTGGTTGGAAAGCATTTACCACCGGCACAAAATTCAGCAGCGCAATGACCACAAAATAAATATTGGCAAAGCGGTGAAACTGCTCATAGATATTTTTAGGGAAGAAAGTCAAGATGGTATACTTTGTTGTCTTGATTTTATTGGAGTTATAGTATCTGTTTGGATTTTCCTTCCACTTCGTACTTCCAAAGGACAAATTAGAGATGATCACGCGTTTATTTTCATTTTTCTTCTTTCTTTTCTTTAATTTTCCTCTCTTCTCCAGCCCTTCATTTTGGATTTCTGTGTCTGAAGCAGCACATTGGCAGCATGTTTCCTTGAAAAAGTGTTTTTTCCATATTATCCTAGAGAAGCAGCCTGGAAAACTTTTCCTTGACATCTTGTTTTCCTCTCAAAAAGCAGACTCAAGTTAAATACCAACAAAGTTAGAAGAGTTCAATAGCCCAGATAAAGTCCAAAATGGCAGAGAGAAGAGTCAAGCTGTCTGGAGCCCAGGGCTGCCTCTCACTCAGCTCCAACCTCCACCTGCCCAGGGACAGGTATCATCCTGACCCAGCTACACTGGGTCCTAGAGCCTGCCGGGAAGCCTGCACGTCATACACGACAAAAGCATCCTGAATGTTTTGTTATTCCTGTTACCATATGCCTGGAGGCTCCATTCAGAGCATTTCCCTGGCATCATGTGTCTGCTCACATGAAGTGTCTCTGTTTTAACACAGAACAGGGATGAGCCTAATTGTACATACAATTTTCACGGTTCACTCCAAGTGTTTCTGAATCACTTTGTAAGCCTGTGAGCTGCCAGGAAGTTCAAAGGTAATGAGCAGAGCTCTGCCTTCAGAAGTCAACAGAAGCCAACTATAAGCCTCTATACAGACAGTATTCCCCTCTTCCACCTCTTCTATCTACTATTTGTTTTCACACCCATAATAGGGATTATTAAAACAAACACATTCCCCCCCTCGACCAATCAAACCTACTTGTGAGAATTATAAGTATACATAAGCGATGTAAGGGCAGTTTACCTAGATTGCCCCACAGCCTTATCCTTCTCCTACAGACCCACCTCTGGACTCCCAAGAGTCCCTTTCTCACCCAGTAACCCCTTCCAGCCTCTCATTTCTTTTTCCCCATTGGACTCTATGCCACTGCCACATTAAGTGGTCAGCCTAGATGAGATTTAATTTCCAAGAGAGCTAATAAATGTGTACTAGCCATAGTAATTTTTCTCCTATGGTTTGAGCTTAAGTGAAAAAAGGAAGACACACAAATATTTAAACTTCTTTTAAAGCAAAGCACTATTGCATATGTAGTGGCAAGCTAGGCAGTCTCATGTGAAGTTATTACTTGGACAAGAAACTCTGATGAAATCAAAATGTTGCAATAAGAATTGCGCATGAAAATATTTCTTCCTTCTGAGTCAGTACTGGGCAAACATCATACTTTATTGCAAGTGGGTGTTGTACCATCTCCAGAGTGAAAACGTGTTGTATTGATCGCCTGTGTTTACTGGAAATGCTATAAATTTTTTTCAGTTCCTGGTTATGCTTCACCTTGAATGCAGTTGATTATTAATTTTTGTATTAATGATTTTAGCAGGAAACTTCTGAAAGACATTTTTTCAATGTGTTAAACAGCCCCAGAGATCCTTTCCAGGCTTGGATATGTATCATATTTCCTCCAGATCCTTCAGCAACCTGGAGAGGATGTTGTGTGTGTTGGCAGACTGGTTTGGAAACTTGGAATGAAAACCTGTGTATCGCACACAGTACTGTGATATGAAACAAAACTTCAGTGATATCAGGATGACTCTTATTGAGTTAAATGAGGCAATTTCAAAAGCAGAAAGAAAAACTTCTGTATCACCTTTTCCAAAATTACTGTACTCCGAAGAGTCAGTAAGGGAACTGCTGCAAAATCAAGACGAGCAGTTTCCACCACATCAAAAACAAGGAAAATAGTTGGTGTAGTATACTTACTTGTCATAGACCTTGGTTTTAGAGGAGTTTATCAGTTTATCAAATTGGTATTTTCCATAGTTTTCAATAGCATCCTTAATCACACTGGCAAGCAGCACCACAATCAGAGGCAGCATAGTAATCGCCCTGTGGAAGACTTCTGTTTGTGGGAACCAGTTTACAACCAATAGGAAGATGAAATAAAGATTAGCTAGCCTGAAAAGATACCAAAGAAATTAAAGTGGTCAGAAATGAGAAGTTGTATTTTTCTTGATGCAATTCCCCCATTTTTTGTCAAAGGAACATTAATCATTTCACATCTCTAACCTCCCCATCCTTTACCAGAATGGATTAATCAGTTATTTAACTTAGATGCTTATTTTTTCTTTAGAAAAGGCTGTTATATATTTTCATAATATTATACATATATCCAAATTTCTATGTATTATAAACACTTTTATTTTAAATATTTTGAAACACGTTTCAAAAATATGTTTCAAAATATTTAAATATTTAAACATTTTGAAATGTTTATTTTGAAAATAAACACATATTCAAAAGCTAGTTAAAAAGAGATCATTAAAAAACTCCACTACCACCCCCCCACATAAAAACACAACAATACAAAACAACAGCAAAAAACAAACAAACAAAAACACACAAAAAACCCACCAACAACAATGTAAAAGGATGGGTATAGAAAACACATACAAAATTGTGGAACTGCCTGCATCAGGAATCCATGAAGGATTCCACATGTGGAAAATGGAAAGATCCAATTATGAAGGTATAAATCTAATATAAAGATTTTAAAAATTAGAGATGGATATGACACTAACATTTATCTTGAAATGAAACTTGAAATGTTTACAGAAAAAATGTTTACAGATTTACTGTATTTAAGCAGTAAATCTGTCCACAGCACAGGTTAGGGCACCTAGCATTTGTTTGCTTTAAATCTTCATTTCAGTATAAATCAGGTGACATTTGTTTCCAAAGAATCATCACCTAAATTTTAAAAACAAGGCACCTACAAAAGCAGCCCTTCTCTGTCATGCTCAAATATCACTGTTTCAGAGACAACTCTTATATGCCATGCATCCTTGAATGATTTTTTTTAATTTTTTTTTTACCTGTGAAATTGCTCAAAAAGATTTTTGGGCAAAAAAGTAAACCAGGTGTATTTTGTAGTCTGTATCTTGTTTCCAGAATAAAACCTGGAAGCTTGGTCCCAGTCTCTCTGCTGTCTCCTGTTATTGGGAAACACAACCCTCCACTTGTTAAAGCTGACTTTTGATCTATCTCTGGCAGAAAATAGCAGTGGGGTTGATTCTGGTACAGTCTGGGAGAGACTTCTGGCTCCTAGTCGTTGCCAACGGTACAAAGCTGAGTCCACAGACAAAGCCATTTGCAGCAGGGATGTCAGTCTGAAAGACAAATACATGACAATGACTGAAAACCAATTCCATTCTAGTGGAAAATTCACTTTGTGTCTTACTAGCAGAGGTTTAAAGCAGCAAATGGTACTACTGTTCAGTCCATTACATGTTCAGTCTTTGAACTCCTCACTTTCTACAGAGAATGCATAGAATAAGACACAATAAACTCTTCAGTAAGGAAAAATCTATTTCTATCTCTGGGAAGAAAAAAAAAAAGCGCCCACCTCTATTTTTTTTTTTTTTTTTTTTTTTTATAACTGCAAACTAATATAGATAAAGCCAATTTAACAGATGTGAACAATGGCTTTTCTACCACAAAGTCCATATCATTTTCTTCAGTCATAAACTGCCACCAAATCTATTTGGGCATTTTTCTTCTAAAGTCTCAGACTTTCTTATATTGCTTTTTCTGTTCACACTTACTTACAAAGGGACCGGCTCAGGTGTTGAATCTCAGCAGCTCAGATAATAAAGAACTGCAACATCAGTTTAATCTCATTTACATTTCCATAACAGTTTCCTAGAGTCTCCTTAGAAATCTGATTTAAATGAAAAAAATGCCAAACAACACCAAAACAACGGGTGTTTTATTGGGTCATAAGATAAAGGAACTCAGCCTCCTAATATTAATTCTATTGTTGAACACGTTTTCTGACTTGTTCACACATTCACAACTGCAATTGCAATCCAGTGTCCAGGACACTCAGGCTCCAGCAGCACAGGTGTGTAAGTTATTATGTTCAATTTTAAACACCATAAAATCCCAATTCAAAAGCAGGAACTTGTGAACCAGAAGATGCCATATAAAGGTGAGGCAGCAAACATGACAGAGCAAATACACTGACCTTGTGCAACTTCAAAGTTCCCCTAAACAAAACTCATGAACTGAACCTACTTCACCTAGGCTGTGCGGCTAACATATTTTTTTTATTTAAGCTTGGACAATGGACATTTAGATTAATTCACTAAAGAATTGGTTTAAACTTCATTTGATAGCAACCATGTTTGAAGCAGATTGAGAAGATCTGTACACATTTGTGCAAGGCTAAATGAAGCCATCTCAAACACGTACTTTGTAATGGTTTACACCTTTATTATAGGTGGGTCCTTTTCGCTGTCAGCTTCCTCTTCCTCTTCCTCTTTTTACTGTATGCAGTATGTGATTTCTTTTGAAAAACAAACCATATTTAAAAAGATGTATGCAGTTTAGTCACAGAAGGGGAAAAAGTAGACTAATGAATTTCACTAACACAATTGAAGCGCACTGTTTTAGCAGCAAGAAACAAGCAAGATTTATGCACTATCACTAGCTGCTCAGAAAACCAATGAAGAGTTCAGCTTGCTCAGCAGTGCCTTAGGATCCAGATAAGAGGAGAAAGGTTAATTGCCATCTATCAAAACTTGGAAACACTGGCTTAATTACTTCAAATACTCACTGAATCCAGACTTAATACCATGTTAGGCATTATATAGGGAATAATACCTATAGGGAATGATGAAAACACCTAATAGGGAATGATGGATATTAGGAATAGAAAATACCTAATAGGGAATGATGAAACTACGAATTACTGGAAAGATGCAAGGGAGGGTAAATTTCAGAACAAGCAAGGGAAAGGAGTTTTTAACAGAACTCGCTGTGTATCACATACTGGAAGGACGTTCAGCCCTTCCTTGATTTTAGATGACTTCACTGTATTTGCAGTAACTGTAGTCATCTGTGAAAAGATTAGCTGCTGAACAGGAAAGCAGCTGCCACTGTGATAATGAGATCGGAACAGTGGATGGTAAAGTGGTGGCTCAGATACACACAGTACTACACGTTTTTAACCACATAATATATATACACAAAGACTTATATAACAGCGGCATATGAGCTACACATAACCTGCCAGAGCACCAAATTATTTCTGTACCTGTGATACATCAAAGTGGGTTAAAACTCATTTCAAATTACAAATTAAAAATGCAATAGTTTCAGGCATATTACTAAAAGTAAAAGGAGATTAATTGAGGTAGCTTTACGCATAAAAAGTAGTATGTCTTCCACAACTTCCCCTGGAAAACTTTTTCTACAGCTTCACAAATCACAAATTCATAACGCGATACACACAAAATTAAGGAACCGTTAGGTGAGGGTATATTCTGTAGCTGGATTCTTGAGCAAAACAGCAAGTCAGTGGCTTTCTTGACATGAGTTTCAGTGCTGGCAATGAAAAAGTAGGAGAATCAATACATAGAATTTTGGATCAGTAAGAACATAAAGGAGCCTGAAATTGCCATCAATGTTAGGCCGTGACCCAGCAGAAAAGAAGTAAAAAGACGCATTCTGTAAAACAACAGCTTTCTTACCTCAGCCAGGTGCTTACAAGAATCTTGCAACTTAATGGCACTTTGATGTTTTATA